TGTGTATATATAAATATATACACATATATGTGTGTATATATAAATATATATATAAGGGTTAGTGGGGTTGTTTTTTTTTTTTGCCAGGTTCATACATTGAGCTCTGGCACTGGAGTTAAATCTTGTTATTCTGCTTTTTATGCTCCATGTTGGTGTTAGTGCAGTGACTTAAAAATCAAATGCATTTCTGAGAAAGACTGAGACACTTAGCTTTCCTGTTCAATTGCAGGACTTCTTCCAATTCAGAGCCATGAGAATACTGATTCTTATAATGCAGTCATTCAGAAAGTGTGCCAAGTGATAATCTTAACTGGAACTCAAGTGCATTAAGAATATTCTGTGAAGCAATTTGGTCACTGTTTTTTTTTTTTTTTTTTTTTTTGGTAACCATTTGGATTTTAAAACATGGTTTTTCTGCATCTCATAATTATGATTAAAGCTATTACAGTGGATTTGCTCTATACCTTTGGTAGAAGTTTTAATATATGAAAATTGAGATGTTGGAGAATTGGGAGTAAATAGAAAAAAATCAAGTCTTGGTAACATAATTAACAGGATAGTGATCTATATTTACTACATGTGGCATTTTATTGTGTGGTATATGAAGTATACATGATATTGTAGCTATATGCACTTACTGAGCTCACTTGATGGTTTATAAGTTGAGACTACCCTGGTTTTTGGTTTTGTTTTTTGTTGGTTTGTTGTTGGGTTTTTTTTTAGTTCTTTAGTTTTTAAGTTAGTTCCCTAACTTTCGTGCTAATTATGGGAGTTTTGAATGATAAGGGTTAGTTATTTAAAAGAACTTCTAGTCAAAATTAGGTTTTAAAAAACTTTCTCAGGTACTTGTAATGGTCAGGGTATAACCTGTGGAATATTGCCTTTAAAAATCCTTGAGTAGCTCTGTATGGTTATATCCTTTTGGGACAGAATTTCAAAATGAGCTAAGTCACAAAAATGAGAATTTCTTGGGCGTAAGAAGTAAAATGTTACCCATTCTTATTGCATAAATAACAAGAGCTCAACACCTGAGTTTTATCACCATGGGAAAATCTTAGTCTAGAGACGTCTACCAACTCTCTGCCCTCCACCACCCTTTTGGTAGATGTTAAAGAAAGAGTACATTTGAGTGTGTAAATCATTTTAGCAATGCCTTTTCCACTTTCCTTGAAAATAACAATCCAGGCACTTGCATTTGTTTGGACCACTGGTATTTTCAGGGGCTGCAGCTTTTAGTAATAAGTTGTAAATTCTTAGCCTCAATCAGCCCAAATTAAACTAAATCTTTATCACAACCTAGGTCATTGGTTGATTTTTTTTGTTTAAAAAGAAAGAAAGGTTGTTGCTGTGTAGGACCACAAAATCATCAGGGAGTTACTCTATTAAGGTTAATATTAAGAGTGGAAATGACGAACCATACATGTATTTAGCTTCTGTTAGAAGTGAAAAGAAATATAAAAATACACACATATATATAATGTGTGTATGTATATGTGTGTATACACATAACTATCTCTATATGTACCTACATATATATAATAGTTAAAAGGTTGGTGATATCATTCCTTAGCATATATTGACATAAGCAAGTATCAGCCAGTCTCATTTCAAATATTCATTTCCAAAGAACCCATTCTTCTTGCACAGCAAAACTCTACAAGCAAGGCTTTATTGACAGCGGTTTTATTGTAGCTAGAGGCTTTACAGTAAGCTGTTTATTGCTGTTCCCTAACTCAGTTGACAGCAATTGGGGAATTAATTTTCTTGGCCCTAGTGTGCTTTCTTAGGTATAAACAACAGCTGTTAAAGATAGGAAAACAGTGACCTATTTACATTTGACAACAGGTAAAGTATGCAGACAACCTCTGTGAATTCCACTGGAGTTTAGTTTGGGGTAGAACAACAATCAGATTAAATTTTTCAAGGAGGAGAATACAGAGTAAAAAACTGCAGAACTATAACTTTTTACTTCTTTTGACACAATCCAGTGTAGTGTTTGTTAAGGTAGCAAGTGTTCCTGTGTATGTACATTTAGGAGACTGTAAAAGTGTGTGTGTGTGTGTGTGTGAGAGAGAGAGAGACAGAGGGACAGAGAGAGAGAGAGAGAGATACCCAAGTGCATAGGTACTGGAAACAGTGAGTGTCTAAGTTTACAATTTAAAAGAGGTAAATTAGGACTCTTCAGAGAAAACCAGAGATAGTATCTCACCTTTATGGAGTGCTCAATTTTCAGGAATCCCAAAATGCATCAAGATATCCACTGCTGCAGTAGAATGATGTGTGGGTGAAATGAATGAGATGTTTTGTGGAAGTGATGTTTGGAATAGCAACCAAAACATGTCCACCAATTAAAAATGCAAAGGAAATTGATGTCAGATGAAAGTATCATAAGTGGGACTGCATGCAGCGGTGTAGGCTTTGAAGTCTTAGGAATGGATAGACAGTAAAAGAAAGTTCGATAAAAAGGTTATTTGGAGAGGCCTTTCGTGATCATCTGTATGCATATGATTTTAAATAATGCTGTTGGGCTTTTTAGAATAAATTTTTCTATTGTTAATACTGCCCCCTTGATTAAAGGACCAAATAGTTATTTAGGGTCAAAATATCAACTTGGAAATAACAACAACAACAACAACAACAATAAAAGATGCCCGGGTAGTTAAGATAATGTGTTAGGACCACTCAGGGAAGCATAATCATCCATTCAGCCTTCTTGTCACTTTATACTGAGCTAAAGGATATGAACTTTT